TTCTGCAGCGCCGCAGCTGCTGCTTCGGTCCATCGCGAAGCGGCCGCAGCTGAGGGCAATTATTCTCACGAGAGTGCAGCAGCACACCTTGCTGATTCACCGCCAGAAGCAGCAGCAGCAGCAGCAGCACGGTGCTCCGCAAGAGCCCGTGTCTCCTTCTGCTGCGCCTGGAGAGCAGCAGCAGCAGCAGCAGGGAGAAGCAAAGGGCACGTCTGCGCTGCAGTTTGTTGCTGCGGAGCCGCAGCCAGAAGACATCCTTGAAGAAGTGCCGGATGAGCTGGAGCTGCTGTTTCAGCAGCTGCTGCTGCTGCTGCAGCAAACGCTGCTGCTGTCGTCGCAGCAGGCCCTGCGGCTGCTCGACGCGCTGCTGCTGTCTGCTGCTACTGTTTCGGAGACAGAAACTGCTCTCAAGAGACTCAGAGAGCAGGCAGTGCTCAAGCAGCAGCAGCAGCAGCAGCAGCAGCAGCAGGACGAGCTCTCCCCTGCTGGGCAGCCAAAGGCTGAAGCTGCAGAGAGAGATACAGCAGCAGCAGAAGTGTCGCCGACGCCGCCACCGCCGCTGCAGCAGCAGCAGCAGCAGCAGCAGCAGCGACTGCACGGAAGTGAGGCTGAAGCCTCCGGCAGCAACAACGCAACAGCAGCAGGTGCAGCAGGAGCTGCTGCTGCTGCAGAGGCAGCAGTTGAAGGTTTCCTGGAGGAGGAAGAGCCGCTGCTGCAGGACATCTCTGTTGCTGCTGCTCGCGGCGTGTCCGGCGTCCTTGCTGCAGCAGCACTGCTGCAGCGGCGGCAGCAGCTGCAGCGGCTGGAACACCAAATCTCAAGGCTGCAGCAAGATGCTTCTGCTTTGGGGAGAAAGATTGAGTCCTGCGACATACCCCTTGCTGAGGATGCAGATGTTAGCTGCTGCTGCTGCTGCCATTGCTGCTGTTCCTTCTGCTGCTGCTGAAGCTGTCGCTGCTGCCGCTGTTACTGCTGCTGCTGGAGTCGCTTTTCTTGCTGCTGCTGCTGTTTTCGCTGCTGGAGTAGCTGTGGCTACTGCTGCTGCTCCGTTGTGCCTCCCGCAGCTGTGTTGTTGCTGCCGACCTGAGACAGCCACTTCTGCTGCTGCTGCTTCTGCTGCTGCTGCTGCAGGCAGAAAAGCTCTTTGTACCGCAAAACATGAGGCTGCGGGCGAGCACCCGGCTGCTGCAGCAAACAGTGCTGCTGCAGAAGCTGAAGGAGCAGCAGCACGAGCTGCTGCCCAAAGCAGCAGCAGAGTCGCTGGAGGGCATAAAGCTGCTGCAGCAGCAACAGCAGCAGCAAATGCTTGTCTGGAAGCAGCAGCAGCAAGCATCGGATGCTTTCCTCAACAAGCTGCGGGTCAGCTGCTGCTGCTGCTGCACCGTCTCTCCCTTATGCTGCGGCAGCAGCTCCGCCTGCCGCTCGACTTCCCTCTCATTCACGGCGCTGTGCTGCTGCTGCTGCTGCTGCTACAGAAGCACATTGAAGCCTCAGCAGATGGCCTTGTGTCGCGGGCTGTCTCCTTAGAGTCGTGGAGATCGGAGGCGCAGCAGCGGCTGCAGCAGCTGGAGGAGAGGCGGCTGTCTCTTCAGCGACAGCTGGAGACTTGTCTCGCCGAGGTTTGCTGCTGCTGCTGCTGCTGCTGCTGCAGGCGTGTTTGCGGGTCCTTGTGGGGGCTGGTCCTGGCTGCCTGTTGCTGCTTCATGTTTTGCTGCTACAGTTTGGTTGCGCTGCTGCTGCTGCTGCTGTTGCTGCTGCTGCAGATTGCGAAGGTAAAGGACACGTTGCGGGCAGCGCATGCAGCGGAGGAGCAGCTGCACAGAGAAGTGCAGCAGCAGCAGAGCAGCAGCAGGAAGCTAGAGAGGAGGCAGCAGCAGCAGCAGCAGCAGTGGAAGATGGGCAAAGAAAGCCT